CTTCTAGCATTTTAAGCTGAAAGGAGACCCAGCCCCGAGTATATATCTTGAATATACTGTGTTCCCATGTATATAAATACTACTAAGTCTGTTTATTGTGTCTTTCCTTGTTATTCCTTGTATATATAAATACTACTGAGTTTTATATCTGTTTCATGCATATATAAGTACTAAGCACGTAATCTTTAAGCTTGTCAGTGTAGATTCCGTAAATTTAAAGCAAGGAGCAACATTGCTTACTCTCTAATCGACATATTGCCTGTCAACTGAGCTGATAAAACATCCACACGCCCTCATATGACAGCAAACCTTGTCACGCCTCTTTTAACAAGTCATGACACATACAACCCGTTACAACTTAAAAAAAAAAAAAAAACAAGGGATAGAAAAATAGATAAACCTGATATCTCAAGATGATGGTTCTTAAGGTTGTCAACTGCCTTGTGTCACGCCTGTCATTACACTAGAGTCTAAGTTTGAAGAAACGTTTATCGCCCCTTATTCCCCGCCTCTGAGGTTGCCGCTCATGTTTTCGCTTTCTTATCGCTCACGGCCCGACTCGCCCACGCCCGGATTCCGGGATTTGGACGCGAAGAGAAGTAAGTTGCAGCGGCCGGTGGTCACGTGCTCAGTGTGTGTGCGTGGTCAGTAAGGCCTGTTTCTCTGCTGTATGTGTACGTCTATAGATCACACACACACACACACATACATATGTGTGTGTGTGTGTATCTAGATAGATAGATAGATGTTTATATATACATATATAGATACATAATATGTGTATTATACATATAGATAGATAGATAGATTATGTGTATATATACATATACATATACATACATATATATATATATATATATATATATATATATATATATATATATATATATATATATATATATGTATGTATGTATATGTGTGTGTGTGTGGTGTGCATATATGTATATGAATATTTATATATTATTATTTTTATCTATTTATATAAACTAGATAGATAGATAGATAGGAATATACATACGTAGCTATATATACATTTTTGCTTTCCTTTTCGTATGAGTGAGCACTTCGGTATCTTTGAAATTGTTATCTTGGCATATCTGTAGACAATAGGCCTGTGCATGTGACCTAGAGGCATGAATAGGGTGCTGCAATTACAGCCCTCAGTTCTCGAAATTGACACAATCTGCTGTCATTTCTCCAGTTCCTTCTACATTGACTTGCTTTTGAGATTTCCTGCAGCATCAAAGCACTCTCGCCTTCACTCTTTCCTCCTTCCAGCACCTTTCTCCCTGCTTTAAAAGATTAATAAGGAAAAAATAAATAAATACGAGAGAAGTCTCCTTTATTCTCAACCACCTTCCCCAGCCGCCCGTCGAGGAAATGATCATTCTCCGATTTCTACTGATCGACGGAATTTTTTTCCGTTCCTCGGATTTTTTCTTTTCTTTTACTTTTTTCTTTTCTTTTAGGAATTTTTCGATTTCCGAAGTCTATCTATCTAAGGGATTAATTAGACTAGATTAATTATTTAGACTAGATGAGTTATTTGTTATTTGACTTCATTTACAGGCTTCTGAAAGGAGGTGTTGCTTCGGGAATGAAACATGTTGTGGATGACTTCGAGCCGGCCAGCTACCACGTCAAGGGGAAGCGGTCTACTGTGGTGACGGAGATGTCTGCTGTAAGCCTGCTGTCTGCTGTTTCTGTTCGCTGAATCCTATCTTTTATTTATTTATTTATTTATTTTTTATGCTGTTTCTGTTCGCTGAATCATATTTTTTATTTTTTTTTTTTTACGTCCCTTTTATCTCTGTCTGTTCTCTCTGTGGATCTGTTTGATAGTCTATTGTTCTCTTTTTGTCTGGCTATCCGTTTATCTTTCTGTTTGTCTTTCTCTTTCTCTCTTTCTCTCTCTCTCTTTCTCTGTCTCTGTCTCTGTCTCTGTCTCTCTCTCTCTCTCTCTCTCTCTCTCTCTCTCTCTCTCTACTCTCTCTCTCTCTCTCTCTCTCTCTTATCTCTCTCTTCTCTCTCTCTCTCTCTTCTCTTCTCTCTCTCTCTCTCTCTCTCTCTCTCTCTCTCTCTCTCTCTCTCTCTCTCTCTCTCTCTCTCTCACTCTCTTACTCTTCTCTCTCTTGCCTCTCTTGCTCTGTCTTTCTCTCTCTCCTCTTCTCTCTTCTCTCTCTCCTCTCTCTTCTCTCTCTCTCTCTCTCTCTCTCTCTCTCTCTCTCTCTCACTTCATTACTCTCTCTCTCTTGCCTCTGTCTCTCCATCTCTTCTCTCTCTCTCTCTACTCTCTCCTCTCTCTCCTCTCTCTCTCTCTCTCTCTCTCTCTCTCTCTCTCTCTCTCTCTCTCCTCCTCTCTCACTCCCCCTCACTCTCTCTCTCTTGCCTCTCTGCTCTGCCTCTTTTCTCTCTCCTCTCTCCTCTCACTCTCTTACTCTCTCTTCTCTTGCTCTGTCTCTTTCTTCTCTCTCTCTCCTCTCTCTCTCTCTCTCTCTCTCTCTCTCCTCTCTCTCTCTCTCTCTCTCGTCTCTCTCTCTCTCTCTCTCTCTCTCTCTCTCTCTCTCTTTCTCTTCTCTCAGTTCCCTTTCTCTCTCTTCTCCTCTCTCTCACTTTCTCTATCTATTCTATCTATCTATCTTCCTTTAGTTCTCTTTCTCCTTCTTACTCTTTAATCTACCTTTCCCTCTCCTCTCCCCCTTCCCTCTCCCCCCTCCCCTTCATCCCTTCCCTTTACCTTCTCCCTTTCCCTCCATCACTCCAAAAAAAAAAATCAAAAACTCACAGTAGCTCATCTAGAGACCTGACTCCGCCCTCCTCGCTCTCTGCAGATCGACTGGAAGCTTATGAACGACGGAGACGTATATGTAATAGACAACAGGGAAATTATTTACGTCTGGACGGGCAGGAACAGCAACAACATGGAAAAAATACAGGGAGCCAAGGTGACGTGACGTGTGTGTGGTGTGTGGTGCATGTCGTGTGTGTGTGTGTGTGTGTGTGTGTGTGTGTGTGTGTGTGTGTGTGGTGCTTGTGCGGTGTGTGTGTGTGTGTGTGTGTTCGTGTGTGTGTGTGTGTGTTGCTGTGTGTGTGTCGCTGTTGTGTTACCTGATGGGGAAGGCGGGTCCTCGTGTCACCCATCAAGTCCTCACGCCTTTTTAAACATTCCCCTCTAACCCTCCCCTGCTCCACATTGTCATATATTCTACTCCCCTTGTCGCCTCACCCTTTCTGTACCGCCCAACCCCCTCCACACACCCTTCTTTCCCCCCATTCCTCCGTTACCTCCTCGGCTGACCCTCGGACCCCGTCACCCCTTACACACATCCTCTTACCCCGCCCTCCGTTTACCTCCCCCCCCTCTCCTTCTTCCCCCCCTCTCCGTTCTACACCCCCCCCTCCACCTCCGTTCCTCCTCACTTCTCCTCTTTCCCTTCGTCGCGCCGCTTCCCCTCAACTCTCCTTTTCCTTCCCATTCCTACAATATACCCCCCCCCCATTCCCTCACCAACGCACCCCCATCCCCCCTATCCCTCCCCAACGTCGTACCCCATCCCCCCCCCCCCCCCCCATGACATGACGTGACAGAAGTCGTTTCACCTGCCGATTCAGAGATCCTGTTTCGCTCTCCACACCCTCGTCTTTTTTTTTTTCTTTTGTCTTGTTGGTTTCTTTCTTTCAACCACGCATAATTAAAGCAACCAACCCACCTTAAAGAATCGGTGTGCCTTATCATCTTTTTTTTTTCCTCACTCTTCCTCTTTTTCACCCCTTTTTCTAAAGAGGAAAAGGGAGAGGGAAACGCGAGAGAAATAGAAGTGATATGTGAACTTTTTGTTTTTTTGTATTCAAAATTGTGGTAAGTGTGTTTTGTTGTTTGTGACGGAGGGGGAGGAGAGGAGAAAGGAGGAGAGAGGAGGAGAGGAGCGAGGAGGAAAGGAGAGGAGTGGCGAAGAGAGGAGGAGGAGGAGGAGGAGAGAAGGAGGAGGAGGAGAAGGTAGGTGGTGAAGAGGTAAGGTGAGTAGGTGCCGTGCGATGGATGTGAGGATGTGTAGGTGTGATAGTGTGAGGAGGGGCAGGAGGAGGAGGATGGTGATGTGTTAGTTCGCGTAACGTTTGTGAGGAGTGAGGAGGAGGAGGAGTGAGTGGATTAGTGGAGGAGAGTAATGTTTGTGTAGTTGTTCGTTGAATATTGAAGGTGGAAAAGTAGATAGAAGAAAGAGAAGAGTAGGCAGAACATATAGAAAATACTAGGACATATATTAGTTTGCGTGGATGGTTAGTTAATGTTAGTTATGTATTGACCTCTCACGTATGGAGAGTAATATATACAAAAATTAGAGATAGGAGTTGGCAGTAGAACGGGAAAGAAATTGGTTTAAAAAAAAAGAAAAAAAAAAAAACAAAAAAAAAAAACATAGGAGGCTTTAAAAAAGGAAAAGATAAAAAGACAGAAAGTTACAGACAGTGCGAAGAACGAAGAAGGAAGAAGAAAAAAGCAACGGGCAAAAGAAAAAGACAGAGGACTTATGCCAAGGATAGGCATAAGCGGGGGGAGAGTGTTATTGGGGAGAGGCAAGGGAGTAGTGTGAAGCGAGTTGTGCTGAAAGGATAAGTTCATGTAAAGAATACAAGAAAAAGAACAGAGAGGGGGGGGGTAAAAAAACATTTACGAAGGGGAACAGTATGTATGTGGAGAGTTGGTCTGCGAGGAAACCCTTTCCCGTAGATTGTACCCGGGATGTCTGTCCGGGAACACTCCACCTCAGGTAGGAAGTGCCGAGTAGGGGGAAGGAACATAGAGCGAGAGAATGGGGGAGTGGTGAGTGTGATATTGCTTGCGTTTGTTATTGTGCACGTTATTGAAAGAAGCCTTTATTATTATGAATCATGAATAGCTTCCTACGATTCATGTGTGTTGAGTCTGTCCATAGCTAGCTGAGGGTAGAACCTGTTTTGTTTTCTTGCCCTCCCTCATCGGAATCATACCACGGATCCGGGGGCGTGCAGGTGGCGTGAGGAATAGATTCAGGCGGGAGAAGCAAAGTACGTTGGAAGTTACCATAGGTAGAAGGAATAACCTTACATAGATTACCCGTTCCTTCTACCCTCTCCTTCCCCCCCCCTCAACCCCCGTGCCGTTTCCAAAAGGGACCGTGGCTCGACATTCATGCAGAGAGGACCGCCGCATGGCCAGCTCAAAGATCCTCCCAACAGTGGTCGCGGGACCCTTCGTCAGGAGCATGGCGGATGTTGAGTCTTCCTTTTGGGGATTACGGCGGGCCTAAAAGCCACGGGGCGTCTCTCTCTCTCTCTCTCTTTTCGGCTTTCGCTTTTTTCTTCTCTCTTCTTCTCTCGAAGTCATCTCTCCCTCGTATACTTTCTTCTTTCTCTTCGGCTTTCTCTCTCCTGCTCTGTCGTCTCTCTCCTTCCTTCGTTCTCTGCTTCGTGCTCTACTCTATCGTGCTCCTTACGGTCTGGCTCCATCGGAGGCCTCCCTCCATCTGCTCTGCTCTCCCTTGACTCTCTCTCGCTAGTTGCGATCACTCTCGGTGCCTCCTTCTCTCTCCCTTTCTCCCTTTCTCTTCGGATTAATCCGCATGAACTGCTTGCGTTCACCTCAACAACAAGCGCTAAGAGTTAGTCCATAGGAAGCATTCTCATCACCCTGCTGGTTTAGCTCACAGTAAACCCGCTCGCACGCGTAGCCACCCCTCCAAGAAGTACCAGACGGTATCGATCAGGTAAGATAACAGACCGATTTCTATTTTCGAAACAGAGATTTTCGGTGAATTTGCGCTTCGATAGTCGGAAAGTCACTCGCGTTATCAAAAGCCTCCCCCTTTAATTCACTGCCTGTGTGCTATCCGAAGCGGTTTGCGTGCGGTTCGCGATGGTGAGGCTTTTATTAGGCTTCAGACGTTCACCCCTCCTCCTGTTTCCTGTCGCGCTGCCTTTTGATTCGCATCTTGTGTCCGCCTGTGTTTCTGCAATCTGAATGTTCACTGTTTCTGTTTATGGTTCGTCTCGTTCTGTATTCAATCTTGTTGCTGTTCTGTCGTTTGTCGTGCTTTTTGCTTATTCCCTTTTTTCCTGTGCAAACTAGCGCCATTGGTACGTGACAGGAAATGTATTCGTCGTAGGAACCGGATTAAACCCTCTCTCCTTTGTCATCTTGTTTATCTGGTAAGTTATCTTTGCTGCGTTCTCGTCTTGCCCTCATGTCCCCTCTCTTCCTGCTCCCTTACTGCTGAGGTCTGTCTGGTCTCAATCTATACACATGTCATCTAGCTTGAGTCAAAAGCAAGAGTCATGTTCTTGCTCTCTCTCACTCACTCACCCTGACCGCAACATAACTTACGATCTCGCTGCGATGCTCTATCTCTTATCTCTCTCTCATCGTCTCTCTCTCGTGCTCCTCTCTCTCTTCTTCTACTCTCTCAGTCTCTCTCTCTCTCCTGCTCTCTCTCTCTGACTCACTCTTCCTTTCCTCTCCTTTCTCTCTTGAGTTCTGCTCTCTCTCTCTCTTCATTCTCGTCCCTTCTATTCATATCATACAAAGCATATGACTCATTAATCAACCCACACATTACACTACTTTCACTTTTACTCTACTAGCCACTACTCAGTTCTTCTCCTCCTAACATGTCTTTTTGTTCTTCACATATTTTAAACCTTTACATGTAGACCGTTTTACGGTACACAAGGCGCAACTCCCTTCTTCTCTTGAAATCTCTTCTCTATGCTTTATTCTCGGTAACATATATACATGCCGTCTAGTAACTACTTTAATATCACCTGGGTCTATTCACATATCTATCTATCTACTCTATCTTATCATATCTTCATCTAATAATCTATCATATCTATCCTATTATAATGATAGTTACTATAGTATGTATAATATAAACCCCAATCTCCAATCCAACCATCCATCCCACCTTTCCATTCCATCCATTCTTTTCATCCAATCCGGTCCTCCTGTCCTCCTCTCTCCTCTTCCGTTTCCTTCCTTACCTTCCACCTTCCAGTTCCTTGCCTTTTATTCCCTCTCCCATCCCTATCCCGCTTCCCTTCCTTCCTTCCTTCCCTCCCTACGATTCATCCAACTCGTAAATAATATCCGCCATCCACTCTCTAGATCATATACTTCAATAATTTCTTCTCTCTCATGCCTCACATAACAAGATGATATTAAGAAGAGATGAATAAACTGACCGACTATACTTAATATTATATAATGATATCCAATTAATAGGTTATCGCGAATATTATAATAGGAAAAGTATAATAAGAAAATATAATATCACAAGTATATGTAAATAAGATCGTAAAGAGTCAAAGGCAGGAAAAGTAGAAGACAAGGACTTGACGACATGCACCTGCCTGAAGGCGCTAAAACCCGATTTTTTTTTTTATTAATTCCCTTTTTCCCAAATAAGACAGATTTAATCAGAAATCGTCAGTCTAAAAACATCCATCTTGTCACAATAACAACACCCATGACTCGCCCACAGGTGCAGGCATCCCCACCACCACCGTCAGACTTTTTTCCCCTTCCCCTCCCTTCTCACACACCTCCACGCCCTCCCCCACACAGTTCCTTTATCTCCTCAACGTCTGTTCTGTTCTGGCTCCCCCGCCAGGATAAGCGAAGAACTCAAGCTGTTCAAGTGTTCGGAGGAGAGCGGCGTTCTGAAGGTGACGGAGGTGAAGAACGGCCCTCTTGTCCAGACCGACCTCACTCCAAGGTGCGTTATGCGTGCGAGTGTGGGCAGCACGACTCACATAGGAGAGATAGATATACAAACATACATAATATATTAGATTATATATTGTATATGTATATGATATGTAATATATTATTATATATATACATATATATATATATATCTGTGTGTGTGTTCATATCCTTTATCTAATTATAATATATCTATATATCTATTATTAATATATATGTATATATATATATATATAGTATTATATATATATATATATATATATATATATGTGTGGTGTTGTGTGTGTGTGTGTGTGTGTGTGTGTGTGTGTGTGTTGTGTGTGTGTGTGTACTATATCTTTTATTATATAATATATATATATATATATATTATATACATATATATTATATATATATATATATATGCATATACAACACACACACACACACACATATGTATGTGTGTTACACATATACGTACGTACATGTGCATGTACATGTTTCTATATTGTTTTTGTGGGGGGGGGGGGGGACTCTGTATTATACAACAGATGTTCAATGAAGAAAATTTACATGAATGAATATTTGAGCAACATCAAAGGGTTTGCTTTATGGAAATTAAATTAGAGATGTCAAAGGAAGAAGAAAAAATAAGCAAGGATGATTGAAAAGGAGAGGACGAGGAGACAGGATAACATCAAATACAGATAAAAAAGAATAATGAGAGAGAAGAGAGAGAGAGAGAGAGAAGAGATAGAGAGAAAAAAAATATAGATGAAAAAAAAAGATAGATAAGAGAGAAAAAAAGGAGATAGAGAGATAGAAAAAAAAAAACAGAAACAAGTACAAAAAAAAAAAATCCACAAAAAAAAAAACAAAATTTTACCCCAATTCTCATCCACCCTCCTTCCCTTCTCCTAACACCCCCCCCTACCCCACCCACACCCTCTCCCGCAGGACTCCTTCATCGTGGACAACGGACCGGACGGGATATGGGTGTGGGTGGGGAAGAAGGCGACACAGAAGGAGAGAGACGAAGCCCTAAGGAACGCCCAAGGATTCATCACCAAGAAGGGATACCCGACCAAGTAAGTTATCCCTGGGTGCCGTTCGGGTAATAATGATAATAATGATAATTTAGGGTTTGCTGTGACAAATGATAATAATAATCATAATTTAGGGTTTGCTGGACAAGCATAATAATAATAATAATAATGATAATAATTTAGGGTTTGCTGTGACAAGTAGTAATAAATAATAATAATAATTAGGGTTTGCTGTGACAAATAAAATAATATCAAAAATAATAATAATAATTTAGGGTTTGCTGTGACAAATAATAATAATAATAATTTATAATAATAATAAATTAGGGTTTGCTTGACATGTTAATAATGAATAATAATAATAATAATAATTTAGGGTTTTGCTGTGACATGTAAAATGATAATAAATAATAAATAATAATTTAGGGTTTGCTGTGACATGTAATATGATAATAATAATAATAATTAATAATTTAGGTTTGCTGTGACATAATAATAATAATAATTTAGGGTTTTGTGTGACATGTTATGATAATAATTATAATAATAATAATTTAGGGGTTTGCTGTGACAGTAATAATGATTAATAATAATAATAATAATTTATAATAATAAAATAATTTAGGTTTGCTTTGACAAATAATAAATAATAATAATAATAATAATAATAATAATTTAGGGTTTTCTGTGAGGCTCTTGTGACAGTCAAATTGTGGCTTGTCTGTTTATTGTGCTTCTATTGGGCGTTGTCGCTTCTATTTAGCTGTCTATCTGTGTGTGTGTGTGTGTGTGTGTGTGTGTGTGTGTGTGTGTGAGTGAGTGAGTGAGTGTGAGTGAGTGTGTGTGTGTGTGTGTGTGTGAGTGAGTGAAGTGTTGAGTGTGTGTGTGTGTGTGTGTTTTGAGTGTGAGTGTGTGGTGTGTGTGCGTGTATGTGTTGTGTGTGTGTGTGTGTGTGTGGTGTGTGTGTGTGGGTGTGTGTGTGTGTGTGCGTGCGTGCGTGCGTGCTGCGTGTGCGTGCGTGCGTGCGGCTGTGTGTGTGTGTGTGTGTGTGTGTGTGAGTGACACCACAGACAGCCACCGGATGCCCTTTTTTTAAATCTCTCGTCTGTTTATCTGTGTTCCTATCTATCTCGCTATCACCCTCCTTTGGCGCTATGGCTCTCCCACGATGAGGCGCCATCGTTTGCCATCTGCTCTGCCATCTGTCGCCATCTGAGACCGATCAGAGCTGTGTCCCGAATCTTGCCGGATTAACCCAGATCAAGCCAGGCTCAAATTGACGCGACTTTTTAATGCATAGTTTTGTTTTTCGTTTCTCCTCCTTCGGTGCTGAGTAATTAATGGCCGGTTATAATCGGGACGAAGCTCGTAAATGCGTGTTTGGTCGTCGAAAAACCGCGCCATCCGATCGGCCATGTGAAGCGGCGTCCATATAATAAATAGTTTGGACACTCGGATAACATGGCGTCGACGCTGACAGAAAGTAATCGATCCCCCGCCTGACTCCCTTTTCTCTTTCTCTCTCTCTCTCTCTCGCCGTCAGCACGAAAGTCAGCCGCGTCATCGACAACGGAGAACCGCCCGAGTTCAAGACGCTGTTCAAGGACTGGAAGGACAAGGACCAGAGCAAGGGCTTCGGCAGGCAAGCTTCGAGTAAGTGTGAGAGTCCTGACCTGGAGGAGAATTTGCTTCGGTGGGCGACGGCGTGTTCCGTAGTTCCGTTTTCTATGCTTTCAGTCTTTTAGTTCTAACCGTTTTTTTTTCTGTTTTTTTTTTTTTTTGGGGGTTGTTTGTTAACTAGCTAATATAAATTTTGTGTTTGTTTTTTAACTAGCTAGTATAGATTGTTTTGAAGTTTTTTTTCCACTGCTAATATAAATTGTTTTGTTTTTGTTTTTTAATTAGCTATATTTTTTCGTTATTTTATTTAGTTTTAGTTCTAACCGTTTTGGGTTCTTAGTTCTAAATAAACTAGCTAATATAAATTGTCAAGTAGCTGATATGAATTTTGAAGTATTTCTTTTTTTAACTAATATAAATTGTTTATTTTTTCGTTTTTTTCTTCTTTCATGTTTCTTTCAGTTCTAACCTTTTTTTTTTTTTTTTTTTTACTAGCTAATATGAATCATTAAGTAGCTAATATAAATTATTTTGAGGTTTTTGTTTTATCAACTAGATTTTTTTTTTCCGTTTTACTATTTTTCTTTCTCCTAAGGTTAGAAAACTCAGATACTCATGTGTTGAAGAAATGTATATATATATTTTAGTGTATTATCAGCCGTTGGGTAAACAGCTTGCTTATAATAACAGGCGAAAGAGAGAAATTTGAGGAGGGTAAACAAGCAGCTCCGAACCACAGCTGTTTCAAGTACTTCTCTGAAATCACTATTTATCTCCTTATCGCCGCATTCTCTTCACGCCGGCAAATCATCATTTTTTCTTCTTCTTCTTCTTCTTCTTTTTGTCATCTCTTGGGAGAAACTGATTCCTTCCTTCGAGTCTTACTCTTTCTCCTCCTCCCTCTTCTTCGCTCTCCTTTCTCTCCTTCCTATTTCTTTCTCTTCGTTACCGCCTTCCTCCTTCTCTTCTTTTCCCTTCTCCCTTCTTCCTTCTCCTTCCTTTCCTTCTCACTTATCTCCCTCACTTCTCTCTCTCTCTCTCTCTCCTTCCCTCTCTCCTCTCTCCCTCCCTTCTACCTCTCTCCCTCCCTCCCTCTCTCTTTCTCTCTCTTCCTCCCTCCCTCCATCTCTCCTTCCTCTCCTTCCTCCTCTCTCTCCCTCACTCTCACTCACTCACTCACTCACCACTACTCTCTTCCCCTCCTCCTCCCTTCCCTTCCTCTCTCTTCCCTCCCTCTCTCCCTCTCCCTTCCTCTCTTCTCTCTCTCTCCCTCCATCCCCTTTCTCTCTCTCTCTTCTCTCTCTCTCTCTCTCTCTCTCTCTCTCTCTCTCTCTCTCTCTCTCTCTCTCTCTCTCTTCTCTCTCTCCCTCAATCCCTTCTCTCCCTCCTTCCTCTCCCTCCTTCCTCTCTCTCTCTCCTCCCTCCCCCTCTCTCCTCTCCCTTTCTCTTCTTCCCTCCTCTCTTCTCTCTCTCTCTCTCCTCTCTCTTCTCCTTCTCTCTCTCTCTCTCTCTTCCTCTCTCTCTCCTCTCTCCCCTCTCCAATCCCTCTCTCCTTCCACTCCTCCCTCCCTCCTCCCTCCATCTCTCCTCCTCCCTCTTCCTCCACCTTCCTCCACTCTCCCCCTTCCTCTTCCCTCCCTCCTCCCTCTCTCCCTCCCTTTCGCTCTCCCTCCCTCCCTCCCTCCTTCTCCACCCACGCATGCCTATCAAAACCCAACCAAACGCTGCTTCCTTTCTCCTTGAAAACTCTTTTGTAAGCTGTCTGTTTCGCTTGTCTTATGGCCAACTAGTCAATGTGTGAAGTGGCTTTGTCAAGTCCCGTGAAGTGGCTTTGTCAGGGACCATTGTAAACAGTCTGATATCCTATTTGGCTGTTCGAGTTCTTTTCTTTCTTTCTTTCTTTGTTTCTTTTGGTGTTTTTTTCTTTTCTTCTCTCTCTGTTCTCGTTGTTTTTTGTTGGCTTTGTTTTTTTTTTCTTTCTTGCTTTCTTTTTTGGTTTTTTTCTCTACTTTCTCGTAATTTTTCTTTTCTTGGCTTTTTCTTTCTTCTTTCTTTATGGTCTTTTTTATCTCTTCTGCTCTCTTTCTCGTAATTTGTTTTCTTTGTCTTGTTTTTTTCTCTCTCTCTCGTTCGCGTATTTTATTTTTCCTTTCTCCTTCTTTCTTTTATTATGTTTTCTTCATGTCTTTTGCATCTGTTCTCGTAGTTTTTCTCTTTCTTCTCTTCATCCTGTTTACGTTCTTCCGTTTGTCCTTCATTTTCCCATTCTTCTCTTCCTCACTTCCTCTTCATCTGAGTCTTCTTCCTCCTCTTCGTCCTTTAATTTCTCTTCCTACTCTCCGTCTTCTATCTCTTCTCTTCCTTCCTCCTCTTTCTCTTCATTTCCATTTCCCTTTCTCTCTCCTCTACTCTCCCTCCCCTGTCCCTCTCCTCACCTTCTCCCTTTCTCACTTTCTATTTTTTTTTGTTCCTCTCCTTTTTTCACTCCTCCTCCTCTCCTTCTCCTCTCATGCTCCATTTCCCTCCTACCTCCCTCCTTCCCTCTCCCGCCTCCTCCCCTGTTCCTCTACTATCCTCCCCTCCTTCTTTCCTCTTCTTGT